TTAATTTATTCCCACCTAGTGAATATGGCCAGTAGCACAATTCCTGATCTAGGGTGACAACTCTCACTCACTATACCGTATAAATGGGGATGCCACGATTGACAATCTAGGACAGGACTATATCAATCCCCCCCCCCTCCTTTTTTTTGTTACAAAAAAAAAAGTGAGGTGCTTCTGTAGGTCTCGAAGATGGCCAGGAACAATGAAGCTGACGTCTGTCCTCCTGTGCTGTTGTCAGCTCAAAAGATATCTGGCAGAATTTGCTGCTATTTTTCACTGAAAAAACTACTATAATGAAACACTTAATCGAAACTAGGGATATAACGAGTATTTGTGAGAGTACTCTTACTCCCCGAAATGCTCTGATACTGGAACTTCTGGTCAGAGGGATATTTCCTCTGACCGGCAGTGCTGCGAGGGAACATGGAGCCGGCTTCCCGGCTAATCAGGAAGCCAGGCAGTAGGTAATGACTCTTGCCTGGCTTCCAAGCCAATCAGCATGGGGTCAGCTCCCCTGGCCTATCAGGAAGCTGGGTTGCTGGTAATGGCATGCCACCCAGCTTCCTGATTGACCAGGAAGCCGCTTTGCCAGCCAATCAGCATGGAGACGGCTTCCCAGCCAACCCAGATGCTTGGTGGTGGGTAAGGACACAATGCCGGGTTCCTGATTCCCCCGGAAGCCGGCTCCATACTACCGCAAGTACCGTTATCAGTACTCTGTATCGGCGAGTATCGAAATATAAATATCGGTACTCGATACCGAAAAACTGGTATCAGTGCATCCCTAATCAAAAGCAAAAGAGACCACATTAGAGAGATTGTGTTTTCACACAGCTGGCTGCTGCTTGGCATTCTTGGACTGCAACAAGTATGAAAACAGATTCCCCAAAAACTATTTGCTCTAGAAAGCCATAGACAGTGAGGCGTGATGCCAAACATACTGAAATCTAGGTTTAGGGTTTACATACACTTTCATGAGAGAAATAAATCCGTTTTCAGTGCCTGGATATTACTGCTGGTGCTCTTGCTGTTTTTTATTTCAGCACCAGGGCCTGAAAAAGGAATGTATGCTTCAGAAGAAATTCAGTTAGGGATTAAGTGATGAAGGATTGAGGGGATAAGTAATGTGTTCTGGTTTTAGTGTGCTTTTACAGTAATAGCTGTTTGGTTTTAGTGTGTGAAGGTGTGCTTTACAGTTAGTGATCATTTATGCACTTTACTATAAATTAGCTTTCAGTGCAGATTTCCAAGACCAATATACAAAATATACTAGTCTTGTTTGCCTTTATTACTTTCACTGGCTCTGGGCATGCAAGCTAAGTCAGAGCCACTGCTCTGCATACGTTTACTGGGTCTGCAACAACCACATTTTTATTTAACTACTTCTTCTTTTCATGTGTCCCTTGTTTATCATGAACAGTTCCTTATTAAATAATACATGTGGGTGGTTCTAGTTGCACTTCATGTGCTTTCACCTAAGTTTGTGACCGTCTATTTCCCAGCACACTCCAGACCTGAATCCCAAAACAGTAAGATGGGTGCTGGTATGACCTGCGGATGGTGCCGCATGAATCGGTCAATTTGTGTTTGTGTAACTACTTTGATTCCCCTAAGCTTCTTCTTGCATGACCTGGCATTTTGAGAGGTGAGATCACGCCACAGACTGACTGGGTAGGCAGAATTTCTTGTGTATAGTCTACTTGAAGTGACACTAAATTCAGGATTTAAATCTTAAAAATGTATTTAGCTTAAGTATTAACAAAAATTTATCTATGTGTGTCACTTGGCTGTAGATCGTCAAATCATCTCTGAATTCATGCCGACACTGTCCTTCCTTCTGGAGAGGGGTTACTTTTGTTCCTCATGGCCCCTGTGTGTGTTGTAGCCATCGCTCCAAGCTCACTCCTGTGATGGACTACAATCTTATGTAGTTTACTAATTTACATTAAAATTATAGTCCGTCCATGGGAGCGAGCTTGGAGTGGTGTCTACTTTACAACACACACAGAGGCCATGGGGAAGAGAAGTAGCCACCCTCCAGAAGGAAAGACAGTGGCAGCACAAATTCAGAGATGATTTGAGGATCTACATCTGAGTGATGCACAAAAAAAAGCTATATTCTTGTTTAATAGTTGTGGTACTTGGCTGCATTTCTTTTGAGATTTAACTCCTGAGTTTAGTGTCGCTTTAAGGCAGATATCTCATTTTTACACTAGTTATGTTTGTAGAATGAATGTGATGTGTTGACATTGAACATTTCTACCTATACTTGGGAAGTCATTTTGAGATTAGTACAACCGACCTGTTACATCGTCTGATTGATCAATAAATGCCTAAAAGGAAAGTGCCATAGACCTTCATTTATCTTTATATTGAGATTGTATTCCATCATGGGAGTGAGCTAGGAATGGTGACTACTTTACAACACACACGGGGACCATGGGGGGAGAAAAGTAGCCACCCTCCAGAAGGACAGTGTTGGCACCAACTCAGATTATTTGAGGCTCTACAGCTAAGTGCTGCACAAGCTTCATTTTGTTAAATCTTAACCCCTTGGTGACAAGTGACATCCATAGTAAATCACTGACACCGGGCCCGTTTCAAAAGCGTCCCGGTGTCTTCAGCCGCCGGGAGTCTGTTTACTATTGTAAAGCCAACTGTAGGCTTCATAATAGAAGCGATCAGGCGACTCAGCTGTCGGGATTTGATAATACGTTGCGCTAATATAGTGTAACATAAAAATTTAAAACTGCTAACATTTTATTCTACGGGGTCTTGGCTTTCAGAAAATAATGTGTGGAGGGGTTTGAAGTCATTTTCAGTGCTAAAATGTGGATTAAAGTGACATTAAAGGATCATTCCCTCCTCCCAATGTTAGTGTAGGGACTTGCCTAAAATCATGCCCTTTAATCCAATCAGCTTCTTCCTTTAGAGTAGTTTTCAGCTGTCCCTCCAGCTCCGGTGCAGGTCTCTGATCCAGCACTGACTCTGTCCTCCTCTCCTCTGATGTCTCACGGAGTCTGTGCGGGTGCACGCTGCTCCATATACTTAACTTGTCTCTCTTCGGCTCCCGGCTGAACATCTGAACTGCGCATGCGCCTGCCGCAAGATCCTTTGCGGCCGCCCGAGACTCTTTCGCACGGGAGCGTGTGGCGAAGACACGGGTAAGCTTAAACCTGTTTGAAAAGGTTTTTGTTTTTTTGTTTTTTTTTTTGTACCGGTGCAACAACGGACTTTAATGTGCCCCAAACCAATAATTTGGAAGTACTTGTACCAGGACAATAAACTGATACTTCCTTTTATGTGGACATAGATACAGCCATAAAGCAAATGTTTAAAGATCATTAAACCGTTCATAAAACTTTGATAGCATCTCACAAAGTCAAAGATCAACCAACAAGGGAAATCTGAGTGACCTATGACTGCTGTTCAGGAAACATTTCAGTTGTGTTTACAAAAAAAAAATCCCTCTATCTAATATATATATTCAGGTGTGCTTTTATTGAAATATATGGGTAACGTAAAAGAAAAAATAGAATCCTGTTGGCTCCATTTCACAAAAGGTACTCCAGGCATGAATAATTGCTGCGTACTTTGTTCTTTTTTTTTTTTTTTTTTTTTTT